AGCCCTTGGAACAAACAAAATTCCTGCAAAGATTGATTAATAGCTACTCATCCATACCTTACCATTTACCCAAACCATGGAGGGGAAACAGACCACAGAATACACCTGGTAAAACTTAAAGTGAGTCCCAGTGTTTCTTCGAGTCTCTATTTCCCCATACCAGCCATTTTCCGTACAAACAGGTAGGAAAGACCCACCTGCAGAGACGGCTGTGGTCTCTTCCTTCTCTTGTAAGGACAGTCCACTGCTCCGTCTGTGGTGTGGCTTTTCTTGCTTGTCCTCTCTGTGCAATAATACACTGGCTTCCACTTGAACCTCTTGTCTGGTGCACGCCTTGAATTCTTTCCTGCGCGCAGCCAGAACCACCTCAGCAGGGGACTCGGGTCTCCCCTAGGGACTTGTCCCTCTGGCATTGGTAGTGCTGTTGAGTTGTTAGGGGACAGGTGCCCATGCCATATTCTTCTTTTTCATATTAGCTTAGAGCATGATGCCTGGCCGATTCTAGGGGATGAATACACATTCGGTGCAGTGGGTTAAGGTGCTGGTGTTCCCTTTAGATGCTAATATGTGATCTGGGCAGTATTAGAAAACTGTTGTGGCTGGGGTGGCAGAAAGGGGGTGGCACAGAACTTGGGGCTCATAGGAAAGCAGGATAACTTCTGAGTCGGACTAAGACCTCGGCTTTACAGATGCAGAACCCTAACCTTATCAGTGTGTTTAGGTTCTGAGGGGCCGACTGATGCTAATAGATAAGCCAGAAGGCCCACTTACTCATTGATATTAGAGGACATGTCTTTCCAATGACGGAATTACTTCCCCCACCAACCATCACCCTCCCCCCACCAGCACCCACCCCCCTCCCCTTTCCCTGAATCAGAGCTGCTGGGGGTAATTCAGTTCAGAACACAGATGACTAAATGAACTTGTAGGAAAAATAGAGCAGTGAAAGGCAAAGCTCGAGAAATTGTCCCTTTTCCAGAAATTTTTCACTTCTATAATAGACTACTTATTTTCTCCCAAATAGTCTTTCTTCTTGGGTGGTACTGGATAAAGAACACAGATGAATTCTGTGCTTCTGGATTCCATATTAACCAGCCACTCCCCCTTCAGCCAACACATCCTTCTACCAGGAAGCTCAGGCTTTGAAGTAACTGATTCGCTCACATCTCTTCCCAGCGGCATCTGGTCTTGAGGACACGTTCAAGTGGGCGTTTTATGGCAGGTGGCAAGCGTGTGGCACCTAGCTCCTCTTAGGGTGAGACGCTTCTGCAGAGACTTCTCTATTTATTTGATGCCAGCTCTCTTTGTCCCCCAATCCTGGGACCCCTCGTTTGGCCTCTTCTCTTGACAGTACCACTGGGGCATTGGGCAGAGTGGGATAGATCAAGATCCGGCCAGTGGGTCAGCCGGAAAGCTGGGCTCTCCTGCAGCCTGGGGCCTCGTCATCCGAGGGGCTGGCTGGGAAGTGGGGCTCAGAGCTTTGGCTTCCATGTGTGCCTCATGCAGAGCTGGGATTTCCTTGTATTTCTTGGGGACAGCCAGCTTGTGACCATCTCAGCATATACTTTGTTACCAGCTGAGACACTAACCATGTGACATCCTGTGACTCACTTCTTTCTGAACTTCAGTTTCAAATGGACCCTGTGGTTTCATTCAGCCCAACTTAAAGTCATGTATATTTATAACTTGCTTTAAATTCAACATTTAATGGAACCCCACAATTCCATACTTACCTACGAGGAGAATGAATCTTAGAGAAGATAAGCACCTCATCTTAAACACCTACCTAGCAATAGGCAACTTAGGTCTTGAACACAGGTCAGACTCGTCATTCTCTTAATCGCTGATCAATCGTGTCTCCTGGGGGCGGACAAGGAGGATCTTTTACTTGTCCGGCTCCTTTGCTTTCCCCTTTCCTTGCCTGTCCCATCTCAGGGTCCACACTGCGTTCACCCTCTTTGTCTTCTTTCTGCTGAGCTTTCCATGCTCTCGCTCAATCTTCTTGATCTTTCTTCTTTCCTTCCTTTCTCTCTCATAATCATCCCTCCCTTATTTCTTCCTTCTCCCTCCCCTATTCATTCCTCTCTTAACCTCCTCCCTTCCCTACTCTCTCTTCTCCTGCAATGCAGTATCTCTTGGTAAACATTTCTGGGTTCTGCTTTTACAAAGATGTTGCCCCACACTCGTGGGTGAATCTGAGGATTGGTGAGGGCAGGGAGATGGTGCCCAGGTATAGCCTAAGCACCAGGGTGGTGTTTCCTAGTCTGGTGCTGTGGCTTCCGAGCATCAGGTGAAGAATAGCCTACATTCACCCTGGCTGGTGTAGCTCAGTGGATTGAGCACTAGCCTGCAAACCAAAGGCTCACTGGTTCAATTAGAAGTCAGGGCACATGTCTGGGTTGTGGGCCATGTCCCCAAGTAGGGGGCGCACGAGAGGCAACCACCACACGTTGATGTTTCTCTCCCTCTTTCTCCTTCTCTTCCCTTCCATCTAAAAAGAAATAAATAAAATCTTTAAAAAAATTTTTAAAAAAAGGATGGCCTGCATTGGAATCACCAGTGGTGGGAGACAAATATAATTCCAAATGCAGACCCCTGGGCCTCAACCCAGAGACTTTATTCATTAGGGTCAGGATGAAAACTTAGCACTCTATATTTTTAAGAAGCTCTCCTGAGATGATTATGATGAGTGGCAAGGTTCACACCTGTGCCCACCAGGCCCTGTCCCTGGGGGTGAGTCAGTGAGTGGCCAAGTGTTTACAGTAGTGCCTGGAGGGGGTTGCCTCCGATGGCAGCCTTGCTTGTACAAGGTTGATTAGTGAGCTTGGCATCTTCTCCCTCCCCATCCTCAGTGGGTGTCCCATCAGTGGTATGTCTGGATCGACACGGGGAGATCCTTGCTCCTGCCACATCTGGGCAAGCAGAGCCTTCTGATCTGCATTCCATCTATGTTTGGTTATAGGTCCCTCACGCCTGAGATGTGTCTATTCCTTTCACCCCTTTAGATGATACTTCCTTCCCTTATATCATTGTCACCCCCATTATTGGCTGGAAAGGAGTAAGAGGAGAATGATTTTCACTCACTTGTCTCTAGTAGAACATGAGTTACCTAATCACTTAGTTTCCTAATTACATTAGATTCCTAATTAAATTAGTTTCCTAATTAAATTAGATTCCTAATTAGATTAGGTTCCTAATTAAATACCAGGACTTTCCCACAGGAGATCTCTGGGGGACACCCATGCGGAACTTGGTAGCATCTCTGAGGCCATCTGGTCTACCTGTGCCAATGGATCCTTTTGGCATTGCTGAAAGGTAAACATTCTCTGAACATAAGCTCTGTGCTGCATCACCAGGCTCTTTGCTGGGATCACACTCCGCCCTTGGTTGACACCATATGCCCTCAGTGGGGACAATGTCACCCCGAAGAGGGTACAGAAATCATGATTTTAGATATTAAATTTTCATGGAGGGAAGGCGATAAAGGAACACGTGTTAAAAATGTTTCTTAGGTGAAGAAAGAGATTTAGAAAAGGGTTGAGAAACACTGGCTTATGCCAAAGGGTCTGTGTGTCTCTGGCTGAGAAGGTGAAGTTATCTGAAGTCATCTACATCCTTCCATTCTGCATCTCCTATGTCCAAGGGTGAAGGAATCGAAGATCCTGTTCTCCTTTCATTGCAAAGCTCTGGTCATTTGTTCCACTCTCATAGCTTAGCTCTTAGCATTAGTGACCTGTGTCATTTGTATGTATCTGCTCTGTCTTCATAACTATGTTCTAAAGCATTTTAGGATACAGGCCATGTGTTCGTTTGTTAGTTCATACATTTATTCATTTCTCCATCAAACATTCCTAGGCATGGAGCTAGATTCTCAAGAGACCAAGCATGCAGGCTATGGTCTCCAACTTCAGAGACTTCCCAGTAAGTGAAGAATGTTGAAACAGCATGACCAGGCTAACAACAGAGATGTCTATAAGTTGCACAGAGAGGTACCTTTCCCAGTGGGGTGGAGGCAGTGCTTGAGCTGAGACCTGAAGGAGAAAGGAGCTTCCTAGATAAAGAGTGTGGAATGGGAAGAACATTCCAGGCCAAACGGGAAGCTTCTGATATGCTTGGAGACAATAATACAGGTGGGAAGGGACTGGAAATGAGGTCAGGATAAAGCAAAGGAACCTTCAAGCTTATTCCAAGGACATAGATTTTTATCCATAAAGCAACGGGATGACGATGATGCTATAAATCCCAGTGCAAGGGTAGGAGAAGACCTATGTCCCAGGTCAGTAGACAGGCTGGAAGAAAAAGGGGCAGATTTACCTTCTTCCTCTGCCTTTTGTTCTACTGATCAGATGAAACCCACCCATATTGGTATGGGTAATCTACTTTGCTAAATCCATTGATTCTAATGCAAATCCCATAGATTCACCCAGAAATATTTAATCTAGGCTTCTCAGGGGTGGACATTTTCCTGGCAATTCTCAAATAATTGGGTACCATGTATGTTTACCTGTGGCTCTGAAGATTATTTATACCCAGGGGAAAGCATCTATACTTAGCGTTTGTATGAGGTTATATGTGAGGACTTGTAAGGGACATACTCTACATTGTGTGTTCTCTATGCTTCCTCTCAGCCCTTCCTTATGTTCTGTGAATTTGGGTGGGAAGTAAGGAAGGTAGCACTGGCATCAAGAACAAGTGGGAGGAGAAACAAGGGGGACCCATAGCATAGTCTCTGAGTAGGGCAGATGCCCAGGCATTGTGCTGGAGAATAAGCTTATGTTATTGTTTGGAATGGTTGGATAGTTATCAGTGAACCAGAGCAGAAGACCAGAACGGAAACCATGACACCCACCCTGCCCTAAGTTTGGGTTTCCTCCAAAACCATTTCCCTTCCGCATGTGGATGCAGTGAGCTGGATAGAGGGTATAAGTCAGCTACAGGAAGCTCTCTGCACACTCTAGAGCCTCTTGCCTCTGTCTTTGGTCAGACCTGCCCTCAGTTCCATGGGAGGCTTTGAGGGTCATCTGTACCCAGGACTTTCTCTCTTCTTCTATGGGCTTTATCATGCACGACTCGTTTTCAGGGCCTTGATATGCAACTGCCCCATTCAGTATGTGCCACGCCGTCCCTGGAACAAAGGAAGATGGGCCAGGCTGCAGCAAATATACTATGTTGGATTGGTGAAGATACTGAGCGCCTGCATTTTAGTAGCCCAAGAGCTGCACTGCATTCCTGGGCATTTTGTGCTCATCACCAAGATGTATTATCAGAAAAACTTTCTGTACCACAAGCAGTGGCAGCATCTCACTATGTATATGACCTTCTTCCTGAGCGGGTGTGTGGACGTGGTGAGCCAGAACCTGCTGTCGCAGAGGTGCGCCGCTCTGGAGCAAGGGGCCCAAGCTCTGGGAGTGCTGCTACTTCTGCTCCTGATGGTGTCTCATACGCAGGACACAGAAGGAGTGGAGCTGCAATCTCACGCCCTGCTCATCCAGGCCATCTTCCTGCTGATGCTCGTGGTCATTGCAGAGCTGTGGGCTCCCAACATGCCGCAGCTCTGGCTGATGAAGGCCTTTTTGTATATGGTGATTGGCTCTTGGCTGATGCAGGTAGGCTTTATGCTGTACAAACCAATCTCGGGCTATAAATGGATGGACGAGGACAAGAATGACATTATATTTGTCACCACCTTCTTCTGCTGGCATGTGGTGTTCATTGCCATGATCACGATCTGGGTCTATGGCTTCTCCTTTTGGTGGTATCGTTGCGTGTGTTGATGTCTGAACCTAGGCGAGCCCAGTATGGTTCCCGTCACCTGCACATTCTGGAGCACGTGGTTGAGAAATTGGAGGGAAGTGGAGCCGTCAGAAAGGAGGGCCAGGCGTTCTTCTCCGTACCTGATGCAGCGGACCCTGCAGCACGCCCACCTCTCCCCTCCGGCTTCTCTCAGTCTCATCTGAGCAGTGTGCTGAGGAAAGATGAATGACACTCAAGAGGCATGTGACTATGACCATCATCACCCTCAGCTCCCCAAAGGCTTCCCCTACCTCCCCTCACGCTGCTCAACGCCAGCCAAGGCAGCCTGCTCACCTGCCCCTTCCTGTACTCACTTCCCTCCAGGAGAATGTAAAAATGGATGTGCTAAGTCCTGCCTTTGGGTCTCCAAAAAACCCGCACCCACCACACAGCCTACCAACCAGTCTCATTTAGCACACCGTAACAATTTACATACATCATGATGACCTCCTCAGCCTGTCTCTCTCTGGACCTCTTCCTACTCATACTAAGTCAGAACTGCCATCTTGAATACATTGAATTCTGAGAACTGTTACTGAGTTCTTTGTTTTGATTGCTTTATAATTTGTCAAAAGGCAAGTCAGATCCCCTTTTTCAGCTTTGTTGGGGTGTACTTAATAGACAAAAAAAGGCACATATTTAATGCATACATTTTTGTGAGATGGGACCTGTGTGATACCAGGATACCATCCCCACGATCCTTAGAAGCAGTTTCCTCTGCAGGGTCTGGTAGAACAGAGCAACACGCTGCACGCAGTAGGGCTCAAAAGGGCTTGTCTGCCTCCTGAATTTCTCTAGCTCTACCTCCCCCGTGTGGTCGGCAAGGTCTTCTGTCTGTGCAGATCAGCCCGTTGCTCTGTGAGCTCCTCAACCCATTTCCAAGTGGTAGACTCTCCGGGACCCAATTCTTTCTGGTTTGCATGAAGAATACAACCCAATAACTTGCTGATTTCACATACTTATCTTTTTTCATCCTACAATGCCCTGACAGGTCAGTTTATAGATGATAATCTACAGTTCAAAGAAACTGGCTTACAGGTAGCTGGTCCTTTTGCCATGTCATGCAATGTTATAGCTGAGTGTCAAGGAGGGTTGGAATTCTGACGAGTAGACTTGAGTGATTGGGAAATTGCTAGCCAGTGTCTCTCTGTCACCCATTCTGCTTCTTTCCCTGCTCTCCCCAGGAGATGGAGCATCTGTCAGGCTTCCCTTTCTCCCAGTCACGTAAGGACTAAAATATCAAGGCTTAGGACTGAATGAGGCTAGAACAGGGAGTCTAGAGGGGCATCTTCCTGGTTTCCTTTTTGCTTCTAGTTCCCAGGAGAACTCAATGAATCCCTGTCTTCCTTGTAAATTTTCTGGTTCAGAAGTTGAGGTGTAGCAGGGGTGAATTATTGCCCAGCTGTTAAGGGTCCCTACCCTCTGGTTTGGGAGGCTGGTGAGCATCCTGGGTTATTGCAAAGGGAAGAGGTGCTTCCCAGTGTCATTTAGATGGGGCTCAGCAGTGTCTCAGCCGGTGGGGTGGCATGCACGTGGCTCTCTGTGGAAGGCTTACCCCTTGCGCCACTGGGGTGATCAGACAGCAGTGCTGCTCTCCCCTGGAGAAGGAAATGAAATGGTCCCCAGGTTCCCAACCATCTGCAGAGCATCCCCCATGGAGGGAGCCCACGCACCAAAAATCGTTCTGAGATTGCAACTTTAAAAACGGTGGCAGTCAGTCCCCATTTGGACTTGCTGCCTGAGAGCTCCCTAGGATTCTCCGGCAATGAGGGCTCCCAGTGACTCTAAATGAAAGATACCCTCCTGATCCCATGCCGGCAAGGTGGCCCAGGTTTCTTCAGCTCTGCTAACAATGGGAATAGGATCATTTGTGTAGGTTAGGGCTTGGAACTGGGCAGATCCCTTGTACCCACCAGAGCCCACTCCCATGACCCAGCCTTTCCAGGCATTTGCACGGTTCCAGGCTCCTGGCCGCCCTGAGTGCCATGGCCCTCACATGCACGGTACACACCTTGTCTGCGGGTCCTAGGAAGCTGGGGCTTCCAGGCCTGTGGAGTTGGGGCCCTTAGTTCAGCTCCTGTGCTTCTTCTTGGTCCTAGTGGCCAATAGAGTTTGGCAATTTCCCTTGTAGGTTCTGTGCTGTCCCTGGCTGGACCCTCTGGGGCCATCTCTTTGTTCCTCCCCCACAACCTTGGGTGTCTTTCCAGGCCTTGCCCAGCCTGGCAGCTCCTCTTTCCTGCAGCCCAGTTGAACCTCCTCTAGTGACCTGAACTTGGGGTGAAGGGGCATCTGTTTTCCTCCACATCCTTTCCCCGTGATGTGGCAAAACTCTATTTGCTACTTCACTCAGGCCTCCTCTTCTTTTTGATATTAAGAGCATACTTTTTGGATTTTTTTAACGTAAAAAATGATAGCGTTTTTGCTGTTATAATCAGATCTCATCTTGAGGCAATATCTTTCACTCATTAGGGGAAGTTATATACAACAGCAGAAAAGCAAAGGCCACATATTAACATTTTTCAATATTATCACTCCACAAAGGTAGAAGTGGAAGAGATACCAAAGCTACTTGTTGACGGATCTGACCTGTTTATGAGAACTTCTGAGGTTCTGTTAGATGCTGATGAGCTGATTCTGCAGTAAATGAATGCCTAGAAATATTATGTCTCACAACACATATCTTTCAAGTAAAATCGTAAATATTTGCAGGGGCCTACAAAGCCACAAAGGGTGTTTAATGGGGCCTGATGTAATACTGGTGGAGTTTAAGGGTGAGGACTTTATTCCTACGTCAGTCTGTATGAGCACTCTGACAGTAATCCGAACCTTTGAAATGTACAATGAACTGAAGGTAAATTTGGGGAAAAACAAAACAACAACAATAATATTCCCCACCTGCCAAAACCAAACCAAACCAACAAACGAGACAAATAAGGTTTGGGAGAGAAAGGTGTCATCTTCATCACTTTCCACCAGAGGGCACAATCTTTACAGGAGCCTGAAAAGGGCCCTTGCTCTCCCTTTCGCGTTCAACTATCAATTTAATAGCAATGCAGGAGGGATGAGGAGGAGGGAGGAAAAATACAGAAGCAAGTGTTATCCAGGCATCCATAAACATAAGAGAGGTCTGTTTGTTTCCTGTTAAACTTGGATGTGTGGACATGAAGAAGCATAGCATTTAATCAGTAGATACAGATTCTATTTATAGATCTATAAGCATAGATACCTATGTTAGATATCCAGACATACATAGATATATAGACATGTATGTATTTCAAAAAACACAAGTGTCAAAATATGAGCTAAATTGAGTACTTTTTAGCCACCTTGTGAAAACCACCAAAATGTTCTTTTTTAGCTTATCACATAATAAGCATGTAATAAATAGTTGGTGAATGAGTAAAGAAAGAATCCAGGACAGTAGCATAGATGAAGTGTCAGTTTAATGCTGACATGCATTTGGAGGACAAACAGGAGCTTTTCAGAGGGGTTCAGGCAAGCATTCTGAGGTCTTGTAAAATTCCTGTACTCGGACACCTAGCTTGGCATTGCCACTGCAGGGGTGGGTTTTCACAGCTCGGTGCTGCCAGGGGAAATGCTGAGTTCCTGACCCCTAGGAAGGGCGACTAAGGAAGAGCCACACAGAATTGTTTTACAGAAAGTTTGATAATTTGCCTTCCTATTTGGAGGCAGAAGATTACTAATGGCCTCTTATTAATTGAGGCGGAACCTTGGGCCAACACAAAACATGCTTGCAACTGCTTGCATTGTAATCAATATTCAAAATATTAATATTATGGTACACATTTAACAAACTAATTACTAAGCTTTTAACTTGACACGTAGAATTATTTATAAATGCAGTCATTTTATTTAAAGTTGCTTTCACATGTTTACTATTTTTCAATAAAGTCATACATTTGATGAATCAAAAAATTTAAAAATAGATACCATTTTCATATTTTGGAAATTAAAATTCCTTAGACATTTTGTATTACAATTTTAAAATGTGATTCTTTTAAATATTTTAAATACCCAACAAGGCATATTTACTAACCTAACAAACAATCTTTATAAGGACTTAAAATGGTTTTTGAATTAGGCCTGAGTTCACATCTCAGCTCGGATACTAACTATCTGTGTTTCGGGTCAGAGCCAGCTTCCAGTGATTTCCCAAACTTCTGGGCATCTCCTTCACCCACTGCACAGTTACCTGGAGAGGGCAGCGGATCTCTTTGTCACAGAGTAAGGAGAAGATTCACAATAAATACTTGGAAAAATACTGCAACGTTCTTCCCAGAAGGCAAAATGTTCATTTTACTTTATTTATTTTTAGAGAGAGGAGAAAGAAAGGGAGAGAAACATTGATGTGTGGGAGATACATCAATTGGTCGCCTCTCTCACTCTTCCAACTAGGGACCTGGCTCCGCAACCCAGGCCCTGGTGGGGAATCACACCGGCCACCTTTTGGTTCACATGCCGGCACTCAATCTGCTGAGCTACGCCAGCTAGGGAAGCTTTTTTTTTTTTTTTTGAAACTCAGGACTGAAAAATAGGATGAAGAACCTAATAGTCTACTATGACGGCTCATTAGTTAAAGGTTCCTATTCATATTACTTCATTCACTCAACAAATATTTATTGAGCACTTCCATGGGCCAGAAACTGCTCTAGAAGTGTGGGATGCATCACTGAAGATCAGCCAAAAATTCCTGCCACCCGTGGAAATTCTGTTCTCAAGGAGTCTTAGTGGGCTACCCACACGTGCCCTTTTCCCAAGGGACCCTGTGGTCAATAGCCAGGACAAAGATCTGAGGTTTGGGTCATCCTGATACTTACACTGCCATAACTGCTGTTATGATGTCAACATGTACTTTGGTGGTTAGCACCTCCTCCCACTGAGATCATGCTTATTTTCAACTACAGCATCTTCTTTCAGCCTTTGTGGCTGTCCCCACGGTGCCACTACTGCTGGCACCACCACCACTGAGCATTTGTTGTCATAGGCACCCCTGTCCATAATCTCTTTGTGCCCATGAGCTACTGAGGCCCCCACTCCTTGAAGATGAAAAGTTCTGGGCAGCGTCTGATGGCTGAGATTAGGAAAAGTGTGTCCTTGTTGCCAGGGCACAGGAGGAACTGTCTGGTCCCCACTTGACACCCATAGTTTCTCCAAATGCACACAATGATTTCTGACCCCCAACGGACCATCAGAGACCACCAAGACAATAGAAAACAACACTCAGCCCTCTTAAATGCACTTGCTGTTGACCCAGTCATGGCCAGGATCCTCTTTGGGCTCTTTGACATATACCCTAAGTCATAGAAAAATAGGTCATTGTGAGGAAGCCCAAGGAGTTTATTTTTAAGCCCACTAAGATTCATTTTTTCATGCGAAAAAGAGGTTTGATTTACTGGCATATTTGAAATAACATGGGCTCTTGAATCAAACGGCAGAGACAAATGTTACTGTTGCA